AATTTTTTTTTTTTTTTATGTTCAAAGGAAATAAAAAAGATAATTGATTGATTATTATATAAATATAATAATAAATAATAATAATATGTAATATTACTGTTATTATTATTATATTATTATTATTTATTATATAATATAAAATATTCTCTTTTTTTATAATAATTAAAAAATGATGTAGTGCAAAATAAATAGGGAACAAACCAAATACAGGTGATAAGTGAAATACGTACCGAAATTAGAGTGTAGGACCTGCCGTCTTTTTTTTGGTGTTACTATTGAATCGTTTTTTCGAATTTATTTTTTTTTGAGACTCTAAAATTGTCCCGAAGAAATATCGAACACGAGGAAAGTAGTAGTTTTTATATAGTGATTATATATATTAACTGATACAAATCGACGTGTGAAAAAAATTTTGTTTGTTTTTAATTAAAAATTCTAATGTGATTTTTTATATATATATAAAACAGTTTATTTATAAGAAAGGTATTATAAAAAGAAATTCTTTCGATTTATGTTTTTTTTAAAAAGAAGATTAGTAAATGTGTATATAAGATGGATGTTTTTTTTTAATATATAGTAGTAACGACTCTATATAATCTATTAAGAAGGTGTCTATTAGATTGTATGTAGTAGTGTACAAAAGAATATATATAAGAAATCAACACGGATTTTTTTTTTTTTTGTTTTTTTATTTTTTGAAAATTATTATTAATTAAGTTATATAATATAATTATATTATATATATATATATACATATATATATATATATTTTATATATATTAATATATTAAATTAAAATTGGTAATAGAAAAAGGAAAGAAAGCGTTTGGAAAAAAAGAAAAGGGGCAAAAAAAAAACTGACTTTAAAAAAATTTAATTAGTTATTATATTTATCGAACCAAACAAAAAAAAACGACAAATAGGCCAGAGGGCAGGACTCCAATTGGTGTCAATTAATGAAATAAAAAGATTACCAGAGTTACCAGGACCAATTGTATAACATTGAACATTGATTACTATATACAAATTATACAAACAAATACAATAATAATAAAAAAAAAATTTAAGACCAAAAGAATGTGTAAGGGAAAACGATAATTAGGAAACACAAGTACACAAGTACAACAACAAAATATTACAAGAGAGCACAAACATCAAATTTTTTTTTTTAAAGTAAAAAAAAAAATCATTTGTCCTTTTACGTCGAATTCCTGTTACAATCTTTATTGTCGATATAGTAGATCAAATTCTATTTTAGGAAGGCTTTACATTAAAAAATTTATTATTATTAAAACTGATTATTAAAAAAATTTAATTTTATCACTCAAAACTAATTTCACATTCCCAAAAAAAAAAAAAAAAAAAAATTTTTGATCTCTTTTTTTTTTAAAAAAAAAAATTATTTGGAAAAAGGCGGAAATTTTGTAATACTAGAGGATTTCCTTAAATGGTGAATGAAATGAAATCAATGAAATAATTTCTTTTTCTTTTCAATTTAAAGGCCGTTAAAGAGCGAGAAAGTTTTTATAAGTTTATAACAAACATCTAAATATATATAATAAAGTTTTTTGGAAAATCTGTAAAGACATGTAATGTAGAAATTACTTGAATTTCAAACTGAAAAAACAAATATTTATTGAAAATCTATAACGTAAAAAAAATTATGAGCATCTATTATAGTTGCAGGAATAGTTGCAGTGATAGTTACAGGGTATATAGTATATTCTAAAGTATTCTAAAGTATAATAAAGTATAATAAAGTATAATAAAGTATATTAAAGTATATTAAAGTATGTTCTAAAGTATATTCCAAAAGTATGTTCTAGAGTATATTTTGAAGTATATTCTATATTCTATATTGCTATATTCTAATAAACTCTACTAAACTCTTTATGGAATTTCATCTCTCTATGGAAATCGTAAAGGGAACAAAAACGCTTTCAAAAAAAGAACACGAGACATCCGCCAAAAAATAAACAAGAGTCACGCCTCCTCAATATTTATTAACCGTAAATAATTAATTAATTTTTTTGGAGAGGCCGAATTAAACCGATTGAATATCCTAATATTCCCTATATTCTATATGCGGATTTCTAAACGAGCAAAAATATCCGTTCGCTTTATTATCACCGATGGACTAAAAATTTATAATGGGACAATAAGTTATATTGTCTTTTATTTATTTTTTTTTTTTTTAAAGTTTTTTTTCTATATATGTATTTATATATAAAAAAACTAAGAAATTAAAAATATGGGTAACTTGAAGAGAAATATAAAAGATGATCACCTAACCTATCTCTATAATTAGTAGGTCGTAGATAGAGTAAAGCTCGTGAAAATGATCTAAAAAAAAAAAAAATTATCTCGAAAAAAAAAAATCAGAAAAATTTTTTTTTTTTGTATATAAAGAATTATGTCTATTGTACTATGGCGTAGAGTTTATTTTAAAAAAAGGAGGATGTGTCAAATAAAAATATATCGGGAAGAGATGAATAAAATAATTAGATGTTATATGAAATTGCAGATTTATTTGTACTAGCTTTATTTTCTTGTTTAATATAATTGGAAATTAAGTGATGAATACGAGGTAAAAAAATGTAAAAAATCAAGTTATGATATTTAACTGGTAATTAGGGAAAAATCCGTTCATTGTGTGATTGTGTGATTATATTGATTATATTGATTATATTTGATTTGATTATATTTTGATTATATTTTGATTATATTTTAAAAAGGGAAAAAAGAAACAAAATATATTTTTTAAATATAAAAAAAAATATAAAAAAAATATATTTTATATATTTTATATATTTTTTATATGGTACAATTTTTGTCATTCAATTATTCACTTATGCCATTTACTTATGATTGTTACTTATATTTACTTTAAAAGTATATGTTATAGCCAGAAGTGGTGTCTTTAAAGAAAAAATAAACAGGTTTTTCTTTTTAGCCCATAAAAATTTCATTAAAAATAAATCTTCCATCAAAGAAAAATGAATTTTATATTAAATATTTTAATAAACAATACATACATACATCTGAGTTATGCAAGATCGTCTTTACTTTTTTTGCCCATCTACAAAAATATATAATTCGAAACAATCAAATGTTAATAAAGATTTCCTTATGGGAATTCATATGCCAAGTACATCATTCATGCTTTATTAGTTGGCAGGAATTTTTGTTTATGTTTTGTTTAAAAATCTGGTAAAAAAAAAAAAAAATTATCAGTCCCTGCCGAAAGATTTCAAAATAAATAATAATAATAATAATTATTTCAAAATACCGATGTGTACATACAATACATACATCAAAAAAAAAAAAATTATACAAAAGTGACAAACGGGATACTCGATACATTACATAACAATTTACCACTTACATGCGTTAATAAATTACCGTGTAGTACATCAACTCTCCTGCCTGCCTGTTGTTGTTGTTGTTGTAATGTAAACAATAAATAAATCATACTAGTTTTATTTTATTTTATTTTTATTAACCTATTTTTTCGGCGATAATTCATCAGCAAGCAGCAGCAAAAAAATGTCCTTTTAATCAAAACAAAGCAACATAGTAATAATTAAGCAGCAGACGAAAAAGTTATTAATAGCTAGATTAATTAATTTTTATAACACTTGTTTGGGTTTTATCTTAATAAAGTAAAATGATTTACCTTTTTTTTTCTTTTTAATAAAAAAAAAAAAAACATAAACAACCAATGCAAAAAATACAACGCATGTATAAGTGAATTTATGGTAAAAAACAAGAATTTATAGTTTTTTACTACGGGGAAATGTTTGGGGAATATGTTGGGGAAAAATTTGGGGAAATTTGTAAAGTTTGGGGAAATTTGAAATTTTTGACATATATAATATTGACAAATATAAATATCATGATAAAAGATCGAATTAAATATATTTTTCGTTTTGGAATTTTGGAATTTTGGAATTTTGGATGTTACTTGAACCGTTGAAACTTTTTTTATTGGGCGCAGCAAGGAGACCCCCAGTTAAAAAAAATTATATCACATATTTTTTTTAAAGTAATTTTTGGTATTTCTCGGGAAATTTTTTTTTTAAAAAAATATTTGTTTACGGATAATTTATTACATATATATATTTTACGGTTACATTATATTTTTTGACCCCTCCCCTTTCCATTATTTATGTCAAAAATTTTTTTTTTTTTTTGATTGACCTTGTTATATAAAATTATATGAAATTACATAAAATTATATGAATTATATAAAATTGTATAAAATTTTTTATTATTTGAGTTATTCGAAGGGGGTCAACAAAGCTGTACACGAGAAATTACGTTAAACGTTACAAACTATGTCAAATATTGAAAAGAAATAATAATAATAATAATAATAACAATAATAATAATAAGATTGTTATAATAATAAATCATTGTTGTAAATGATAAATTTTGATTGTTCTTTTTTTTTTTTACGGATATCAATTCAAAAACCCTTTAATGATATTTTAAAGAGTTTAAACCCTTTAAAAAACTACCGCTAGTATCCGTTGGTACCTCTGTAGTTATTAAATGATATCATCAGGTTAATAAAAAAGCATGATTATAACCGAATTAAGATAAAAACCTTCTGACATCGGTCTATCATATTATTATGTATTGCATTGTTAAAACTTTAAAATTTTTTAAGTGAAAAACTTTTGAAATCATCAAATCATCACATATAACATATACATACATATAGTTATACATAAATAATGCAAAATGGTAATCTTACACTATACTAGTTTGGGTTACCTTTTTTTTTTTACTTTAAAAATCATTTCATTTAGCATATATATTACAAATTTAACTAGCATACAACTTATATTTTTATACTTGAAACATTTATGCAATGTATAAGCAAAAAAATGAAATCTAAACCACTAAAGGTAAAAAAACTAAAAATATACATTTTTTTATTTTGATTTGAGAACAAAAAAAATACCGAAAATAAATTCAATAATATTTAAAAATATTAAAAATATCTTTTTTAAAAATTAAAACCTTCTATTTTTTCTATTTTTTTCTATCTTTAAAACCTCAAACTTTTTATTACCACATGAAAAGTTTCATCCTTGTAACAAAATCGAACCATTAAATTTTAACGATAATATTTCCTTTTCAGAGAAAGATAGAGAAGAGAAGAAGTTTTGTTCCTTTAAAATCTATAGTTAGTTTAAAATGATAATCTTTACTTTATTAAGATATCATTTTTTACTCGAAAAGGTATTGATATTCCAAAGAAGTACTTATTTTGTGTTTCGTTGTTTCGTATTTTTTTTTTTTTTTTTTT